CCAGGAGATGATTTCTCACTTTCCCTCTCTCTGTCTCTTTCTCTCTTTCTGGTGGGCACATGTACCCTATGACAAAAGAACTTAAAAAAAAAAAAAGTTAAAGTTTTCAGGGCCAGTTAAACTAAAAACGTTAAAGTTTTCGATGGCATAAAGGTTAAGGTGCTGGACGCCACATAGCCGACTGTGCAGTCTGAGTCCTGGAAAATCACACTGGGTGCATGTGCTTGTGTGCCCAGGATCCCAAGAGAAAAATGAAGAAGAAGGAATTGTGGCATGGCCATCTCTCCTGGGGGGTGGTTTCTTACTTTCTCTCTCTCTCTCTCTCTGGCGAGTGCATGCACCATACAGCAAAAATTTAAAAAAAGAAAGAAAAAGAAAAAGATTGGGGTAAAAAGGCCCTTATATCACCTTGAAATTAAACAATTAACCTTTTTTTTAATTAACACAGTATCAAAAATAAAGCTATTTCTCAGACCAATACTGAGTGGGTTTTTTTGTTTGTTTGTTTTGTTTTTTGTTTTTGTTTTTTTGAGAGATTTTTGCTGTAGAGAGATTTTTGCACTCACCATGAAGATGAGAGAGACAGAAAGTGAGAAATCACACCCTGGGGGATGGCCACACCACAACCCCTTCTCCTGGGATTTTGGGCACGCGTGCATGCACAAGCGTCCAGCATGAGTTTAAAGCCACCGGGTCCAGGACTCAAACTGCAGTCGACCATATGAGAGTCCAGCACCTTAACCACTATGCCACCTGCTGGCCCTTGAAACAGTCTTAAATTTGCTTTACCAAGTAAGCAAAGCCATTCATCATTGTATTAAACACCAAAGAGCCCATGGACCAAACCAATACCTTCATTTTTAGGGCTTTCCTTCTGAGACAGACATAGGTGTAAGTCATAGAAAAAAATGGAAGTCACACAGGAGCACATGCGCAGGAATGGACCTGAAATTGAGCAATGACAAAGCAGTCACTGCTTGCAACATCTCTGAGGGGATCCTCCTCTTGCCTCACCTCAGGTTAATCAGGAGTCAGCCTCCCAGGTCAGCATCCTCTCCGAGTTGAAGCAGGGCTCCATAGAGATCACATGCAATGAAGCAGAGCTTGGAAACTGCTGGCTGATTTGACCTTTGGTCAGAATTCATCAAGTGGAGTCACACTGCAGTGGCCGTTTGGTTACCCCTGTCCTGAGCGGGGAATACCCTCCTCAGGATGAAGCCTTTTAAGAATTAGGGCAGGAGGAAAAACTGTAAACTTCTCCTCTTCCTTCCTTCCTTTCTCCCTTCTTTTCCTGTCCACTAGTCTTTAAATCACAGACTCTGGAAGCCAGGTGAGCCGTGTGGAAAGTCACAAATTTAATCTTTCTGCTGCAACCCCTGGCCCACTTCCCTAAAGAAAAGCTTATACAGCACTACAACCTTATTCCCACTTCCAGCCAGGAAGAACTCGCTGCCTCTTCCCGTGTCCCTACCCCAAAAGGCACCATAATAGAAGCACATTTTTTTTTTGTATTTGTTTTGCCCAATAGTAATGATGTATTCCATTTTCTTGTTTTTTGATCGTTTGTTTCTATGTTTTTGCCATAGGGCACAGATGCTCACTGGAAAGAGACAGAGACACAAAGAGGGAAAGTGAGAAATCATCCCCCAGGGGGAATAGTCATGCCACAATCCCTTCTCCTCCATTCTCCTCTCAGGATTGTAGACATGTGCACACACACGTCCAGCATGATTTTCAAGCCTCCAAATCCAAGGCTTGAACTATTGAGTCAGCTATGTGGGGGTCCAGTGCCTTAACTGCCACATCACCTGCTGGTCCCTATTTTCATTTATGAAAGGGGAAATAAACACATTATCATTCTCAAAACAAGCAAAGAAGACTTTTGCGGCTCCTATGTAGCTTCCATTGATTTTCCCCCGTGGGTCAGTAACCTTTACCTTTAATCTACAGCAGCCACGGCTGACATTTGGCCTGGTTGTTTCTTTCTCGTGAAGGAGTGTTGTGCATCAGAGAAGGTTTCGGGGCACCCCTGGCCTTTACCCACCAAGACACCTGCGGCACTAGTACTTCCTTGAAATAACCAAAAATGTCCCCAGACATTACCAACTGTCCATTGTATTTCAAAATCACCCCCACTTGGGAGCCATTGCCCTCCAGCATGTAGGGCCTACAGGATAACCCTGTGTGTGTATTACTGAAAAGGATTAGAGCATGGTAATGTTTTACTTAGTATCCCATGCCTGTGACACAGCTCCGACCAAGCTAACCTGCTTACTGTCCACAGCAAGTTACTAATACCTTGTCAGGCTCTGGGATGCTGGCCATCTGCTAATCCTTTTGCCCTTCAAAACATTACCTTCTCCCAGTTCAATGCTGTCTCCCTATGATAACTCCATTAGGCTTCTATTGCTGGGATCTGTGCTCTCATATACTTAAAAACCTCTCGTCAATGACTTGCTGATGTGATGGGAATGTTGTATGTCTAGATAAGGGTCGGGTTACAGTGCTCTATGCGTTTGTCTGATCTGCAATGATGCATCAGGACTTGGGCATTTTATTCCATGGTTATTTTATATCAAAAGAAAAAAATCATAAATAAATACTGAATTCGTGGGACCAGCAGTTAGCACAATGGCTAAGTTGTTGGACTCCCACGTAGTTGACCGCGGTTCGAGTCCTGGACCCGGTGGCTTAAACTCACGCCAGGCACGTGTGCGTGCATGCCCAAGATCCCGAGAGGAGAATGGAGGAGAAGGGATTGCGGCGTGGCCATCCCCTCTGGGGGGTGATTTCTCGCTTTCTGTCTTTCTATCTCTCTGTCTCACTCTGTCTGTCTGGCGAGTGCACACACCCTATAGCAAAAACCTCTCCAAAAAAACCACTTTCACACAACCTGCTGGCTCCATATTTACTTTCTATTTTTAAATAACTATTTATTTAATTCCACTTGATATTATTATTTTTTAAATTTTTGACCAGAGAGAGACAGACAGGGAAAGTGAGAAAGCAAGCTGCCAGGTCCGCGATTTGAACTGTTGACCATTTGGGAATCCAGTGTCTTTAACTACCACACCACCTGCTGGCATGGAAGCACACCACCACATTTATTAAAATTTATTTTGCCCAATAATAATGATGTATTCCATTTTCTTGCTTTCTGATTGTTTGTTTCTATGTTTTTGCCATAGAGCATAGATGCTCACTGGAAAGAGACAGACAAAAAGAGGCAAAGTGAGAAATCATCCCCCAGGGGGAATAGCCATGCCACAGTCCCTTCTTCTCCATTCTCCTCAGGATTCAAGACACGCACACACACACATGCCCAGCATGATTTTCAAGCCACCAAGTCCAGGGCTTGAACCATTGAGTCAGCTATGTAGGGATCCAGTGCCTTAACCACCACACCACTTGCTGTTCTCCTATTTTCATTTATGAAAGGGGAAATAAACACATTATCATTCTCAAAACAAGCAAAGAGGCTGGCAGGTGGCATGGTGGTTAAGGATGCTGGACTCCGACATGGCCAACCACGGCTCGCGTCCTGGACCTGGTGACATGCTTTCTCACTTTCTCTCTCTCGCTCTCACTCAGTCCCTCTCTGATCAGAATTTTAAAAAATAAATAAATAAAGTTAAATAAACTAATTCTTTAAAAAAAAAAAAAAAGAGAGAGAGGGACCAGCAGTTGGCATAATGGCTATGTCACTGAACTCCCATGTAGTTGACTGCGGTTTGAGTCCCAGACCCAGTGGCTTAAACTCATGCCAGGTGCGTGTGTTTAAGTGCCCAAGATCCTGAGAGGAGAATGGAGGAGAAGGGATTGCAGCGTGGCCATCCCCTCAGGGGGTGATTTCTCACTTTCTGTCTCTCTATCTTGCTCTTTCTGGCGAGCGCATGCACCCTATAGCAAGAATTTCTCAAAAAAAATAAAGGACAGAGAGAGAGAGTTTTTTTTCCCCTCTCTCTCTGTGTCTCTCCCTGGTGAGTACATGTGCCCTTTAGCAAATTAAAAGTAATAATAATAATAATAATAAAAATAAAATAAAGTAATAATTCTTTAAAAATTCTCAAATAAATAATTCTTAAAAAAAAATTCTCGGGAACCAGCAGTTAGCATAATGGCTATGTCGCTGGACTCCCACGTAGTCGACCGCGGTTCGTGTCCCGGACCCGGTGGCTTGAAAATCATGCCAGACACATATGCATGTGTGCCCAAGATCCTGGGAAGACTGGAAACCACTTCTGGATCTTGTCCTGTTAAGACCTTATGTCCTTAGGGATGAGACTCTCCCTTTTAGTTTTCTCTCCTTCAACCACCATTTAAAAAAAAATTATTTATTTATTTATTTAATTCCATTTGTTATTATTATTATTTAAAATTTTACCAGAGAGAGACAGAGAGAGAGAGAAAGCAAGAAAGCAAGCCACCAGGTCCAGGACTCAAACTGCAGTTGGCCATGTGAGAATTCAGGGCCTTTAACCACCACACCACCTGCCTGCCCCCTCAACCACCATTTTTAAAAAGTAAAAAACATATTCTGGGGCCATCTGGTGGCGTAATGGTTAAGGCAACTGGATCCCACATGACTAACTGTGCAGTTAGAGTCCTGGACCTGACAGCTTGAAAACAGGCACAGGGTGTCATCCCCCGGGGGTAACTTCTCACTCTCTGTCTCTCTCCAGCAAGTACACATGCGCTAGTAAATTTTTTAAATTATATATATATATATACACACACACACACACACATACATACATAGATATGTATATATTTTAACTACGAGTTCCTTTTCAGATATATAATTTTCAAATATTTTAAAATATTTTCTCCTAGTCTGTGATTTCTTTCTGTTATCTTTCAGAACACAGAGTTCCTAATTCTGATAAAGTATAACTTCAATTTTTTTCTTCTATTAATTATGTTTTGAGTGTTGTAGGTGCCTTTTAAATTACTTATTATTGTGTGGTGTGTGTGTGTGTGTGTGTGTGTGTGTGTGGTGTGTGTGGTGTGTGTGGTGTGTGTGGTGTGTGGTGTGTGTGTGGCGTGTGTGTGTTGGGGTGTGTGTGTTTGTGTGTGGGGTGTGTGTGTGTGGCATGTATATGGCATGTATGTGCGTGTGTGTATATGTGTGTGTGGCATGTATATGGCCTATATGTGCGTGTGTGTATGTGTGTGTGTGTGGTGTGTGTGGCGTGTATGTGATGTGTGTGTGTGGTGTGTGGTGGGTGTGTGTGGGTGGGTGGTGGGGGGGCGTGTGTGTGTGGTGTGTGTGTGGCATGTGTGTGTGTGTGTGGCATGTGTGTGTGTGTGGCGTGTATATGGCCTGTGTGTGTGTGTGTGGTGTGTGTGGGTGTGTGTGGTGTGTGTGTGGTGTGTGTGTGGTGTGTGTGTGTGTGTGTGGTGTTTCAGACAAGGTCTTACAGTGCCATTATCCTGATGCCTCATCTGGAGAAGCCAAGACTACAGGAATGTTCCACTGTGCCTAGCTTTCTTGAAATACCTTTTTTTTTTCTTTTCCTTTTTTTGGAGAGGTTTTTGCTATAGGGCGCATGCGCTCACCAGACAGAGAGAGACAGAAAGCAAGAAATCATCCCCCAGGGGGGATGGCCAAGCTGCAATTCCTTCTCTTCCATTCTCCTCTCAGGATCTTGGGCACGCACGCACACGCGCCCGGCGTGAGTTTAAGCCACCAGGTCCGGGACACGAACCGTGGTCGACTGTGTGGGAGTCCAGCAACATAGCCATTACGCTAATTGCTGGTCCCATTGAAATACCTTTTTTTATTTTTTAAGATGTTTGCCATATGGCGCATGCAGTTAGAACAACAGAAAGAGACAGTGAGAGGGAAGGTGAGGAATCACTCCCCAGTGAGGATGTCCATACCACAATCTCTTCTCAATTCTCCTCCTGGGATTTTTGGGCATGTACATGTGCCCAGTGTGATTTTCAAGTCACCAGGTCGAGAACTCACACTGTGGTTGACCATGTGAGAGTTCAGTGCCTTAACCACTATGCCACTTGCTGGCTCCTCCTGAAATACTTTGAAAATGCAGTGTATTACATCACATTCTTTGGGTTCCTTCCAGTGCCAATTGTCAATTTATTGCCTCTGAGCTCCAATATGCCCTTTTATTTTAAAGAGATTTTCAC